CCCCCCCCCCCCCCCCCCCCCCCCATGGGAAGTTAAATACCAAGAAAAGTGATTAAAAATAAATTCAAGTTTAAAGAATGAAAGCTAGTCCTAACATGCTCTTCCTTTACCCCTCACCTTCCCCCCCACCACTTCAGTTATTCATTTTGAGGCAGAACATGTCAAAAAACTGATTTTAGGAACAAATCAATGGTGAGGGAGAAGGCGACTGTAGACGGAGGGAAGTAGAGCTCCTCTGTGCAACGACTGTCAACTGATGATTGTAAAGCGCAAGTATTTTATTCTCTTAAAAAACAAAACAAAACAATAAATAAAAATAAATATCACTGGGTCATGTAGTTAGAGAACAATAATTCTCCAACATTATAAAGCTGTGCAGGGCGCCCTGCCTGGCTTGCGGGATGGGCAGCATGTCACTAGTAGATCAGTACAGACAGAATCGGGACCGACATGCCTGAGAGCAGGCTGATGTCTTTGCAAACATCCAGGGGGTAAAACTAGAGAAACAACGAAAGCAAGATCCCAGAGTGCCCCTGGACAGGAAAGGAGAGGCAAAGAGATTCTGTCATGTATCGAAAATACTAACTAGTTTACGCCTATTTAATGACACTTGAATACACGTGTGAAAACAGGATAAGTCACGGAGAAGGTGGGAATAAAATTAAAGGCTTAAATCTCGCTCCCACTGGAGTCAGCTACAAAAAACTCCCGTTGACTTCAATAGGAGCAGAGATGTTAGAACTTGATTAGAAACAGGCACCAGGTCGCATTAAGAAAAAGTTAAGTTTTTGTTTCCTTCTTGGCCAATCTCAAGTCCTTACAACCATTTCTGGTCCTCGTTACGGCCCAATGCAGACACCGCTCTTCCAGCACTGGAAGATGGAGCCCTGCATGCTGCATTTTGAACTGCCAACCTCGTTTAAAGCAGTACAGTATCATGTTATATCCGGGTAAATAAGCCTGATCGATATTTTACAGCTGTTGGAAACTCGCTCGCTACTTTGAATAACTCAATTTACCCTTTGCTCTGTGACAGGCTGATAAGCAGCACTGCTTGCACACACATATACATGTGCAAACACACATACAAACTTTCATTGTTTGAAATAAGCCACACGCCAAAGTGTCATAATTCACGTAAGGAGCTTAAACATGTAGATTGATCACCACGACCGGGCGAAGATTTAGCAGGTCAAGCACCCAAGCAGGGAACGGTAATTCCCTCCATTAGTGTTTGCCACAAACAAGGAGGTTACCAAGGCTGGTTTAGCGCTGCCAGCATAGCTGAGGAGAGCCCGTTGTCTGTGTGCCGTTTCACCCGAGGCTGTGTGGCCTGCAGTCGCTTTTCAGTTAGCCCAAGATTTCCTGTTCTCTGTATTCTTCGGCAGCTTCTCCGGTCGAAGGGCAGGTGCTGCTTCCGATTTGGCCAGGGCCGTCAGGGAAGCCAGGTTGGAGGCTGAACCCGAGAAGTTGCCGCTCTTCCGGTTCTCCGACGTCGCTCCCCCTTGCAGCCTCAGACCGGCGCTCCGCCGCCTGGCTGCTCCGGTGGCTTTTTTCACTCTGCTTGGCTTCACGAGGAGCCCGTAGCCTGGGTTGCATTTGAAGTACTGCCTTCCCCCAATGGAGCCGTCGTTCTTACCTAGAACAACAAGAGCAAAAGGTTGCAGACGGTTCTCCGACAACGTTTGTGTGCAGCGGTGACCCAGAACAGCTAATAAAACATCATTAAGGGCGTCATCAGGGGAATCGAAAAGAAAACCACTGTCGTGCCACTATACAAATCCCCATCTTCATAGTCTCATAGTTAATAGGGTTGGAAGGGGCTGGAGCAGATCATCGAGTATGACCCCTGCCATGGCAGGAAAGAGTACTGGGGTCAAACGACCCCAGCAAGGTGTTCATCTAACCTCCTCTTAAAGACCCCCAGGGTAGGAGCCAGCACCACTTCTCTTGGAAGTTGGTTCCAGATCCTAGCCGCCCTGACTGTGAAGTGGCGCCTCCTGATGTCTAGTCTGAATCTCCCCTCTGCCAGCTTGTGACCGCTATTCCTGGTCACTCCTGGCAGTGCTCGGGGGAACAGGGACTCCCCCAATGCCTGCTGGTCCCCTCTGACTAGTTTGTAAATGGCCACTAGATCCCCCCTCGGCCTTCTCTTGTGGAGGCTGAACAGGTTCAGGTCC